GCCTCTGGTCTACATTGCATGCTGATGTGGCACTGCCTGTGGTCTACATTGCATGCTGATGTGGTGCTGCCTCTGGTCTACATTGCATGCTGATGCCTCTGGTCTACATTGCATACCGATGTGGCGCTGCCTCTGGTCTACATTGCATACCGATGTGGCGCTGCCTCTGGTCTTCATTGATTATGTGGTGCATGCCACCTGTCTCGACCGCTGACTTCGTCACTGTATTCTGCTGAGTCTTCATGTTCTTCACGAGATGAGAGTGCCACGGGGCACTACTGTGTTATCAGGATTATCATACTTATTATCATACACTGCTTGATGACGTGGAGGAGGAAGAAGCCCGGAGAAGGAGTGGGGTTTGTTTGGGTTATTCTTGAGTGATCATTGATCATCTCTCCTCCACTCTCTTCGTCTAATGGTAATGAGATACTGTTTCAGATATCATTTCACGATAATTGGAGACTATGCTGCAGATACCGAGACTACTTGACGACTGATGAGTATCTGCCAGACTGGGTTCATTACACAAAGAAAAGATAGCCAAGAAAGGATTGTACAAGGAAAAGGCAATATAACGGATATTGTGCTGTGTTGTTTACTATACAGGTAGATTCTGGTAGAACTGTTCCAACGTTGGATGTGCACATCATATGTGTGTTTCCTTCTTTGCTGTACAGGCCAAACTGCCTCAATTTTGTATCAGCTCATCAGAGTGGAAACACACACTCTGAATGAGAGGTAAAACGAAACGCGATTATCAGAAATTTTCAGATATTTGTCGTGAGAAAAAAAAATTCAGAGATTTGACGAAGTCCTACTTGATTTACTAACGAGTAATCAATAGATCAAGCAAGCTGGCTACTTGATTGACCGTGTCCTCTGAATGAGAGGTCCGCTCCGATACCAAACTGTTGCATACCGTAACGGAGCAGACCAGAACAAGAACCGACCTCTCTCACAAAGTACAAGATAGCGTAGCGGAAGACTTAGATACCAATGATCTAACGGTGCAGACCAGAACAA